GGAGCCTTTGCGTCCTCGCATTCCCGGTCTCCCTCAAATCCCCACTGGAGCTTTTGTGAATTCCCTCTCGGGGCTATCCCCGCGTCCTGTTCAGGAGCCCTTGTTTCCTCCCCTCAGCCCCCACTTCGGGGCACTTCCTCAAGCCCCTCCCTGAGCCCGCTGCTCTCCCTGTGTCCCACCTCTCCATGCTCCTTTTTTTCTCCCGCTTTCCATGCTCTTCCCTGACCTGGGCACCCATCTCAGCTCCCTTACATCAGGCTGCTCCCCTTTACCCCTATTTCTGACACTAAGCACAGTATGTTTCCAGAATCTTGAGGGATTTGCTTTCCTCTGTGCCTCTGGTATTTCCAGGATGATTTTTATCACACTTTTAATTCCCATGTGCCAGCTCACCCCTGTGCACTGATTTCCTTTAGCACTGTGTGGTTTCTCCGAGCTGATGGGTGAAATCCACCATCTCCTCACATTTCTTCATGGGTTATTTTGTTTTTCACTCCTGTTTTTCTGTCTGTGGGGCTGAGGTCGGTGGGAGGGAGGTGGAGAACTCTTAGCCTCCATCCTTGCTGAATGCCCAGGAGAACAGCTATCCAAAAGGCCTGGGAGCACTTCTGAGGTGTGAGGTTTGGTGAGAAAAGTCAGCCTTCCAGCAGTTTAAGGAGTGGGGTTTTTTTCCAAAATCATTGTTATAATAACATCTATTTTTATGTCTCTTGCCTTCTCTTTTAATGAGACTGAAATATACTACAGATGCTGCTGCTTTTTTCCAGGCAGCTTCCCAGGAAGCAGCAAAGAGTCAGCCCATATGTTTATGACACCCAAGATAGCACTTGTTTTACTCTATCTTGTTATTTATGCCTGGTTTTAAAGGCCTTGAATTCCTCCTTTTCTACACCAGCATAGAAAGGAAAGCCATTAATTAATCCCGTGGGCTCTCTCTTTCCCTCTGCTCAAGCCTGTGATTGTGGTTTAAAGCAATTAAAAGCTGTGTCTGTCTGTGCTCAGTTCACAGGTTGGTCACCTACATCTTTGTCTATGAAGACCTGGTCTCCCTGACCTGCGGTGCCGTTGCCATCTGGTACTTTGCCGGCAGCTTTGAGAGGAACGTGGGCACAGTGAAGCACTGCTTCCTCACCATCACCTTCTCCGTGCTCTCTGCCCTCCTCTACCTCCTCCTGGAGCCCCTTGTCTCCCGGGTGTGGGAGGTGGGAGAAGCCAAAGGATTCCTGCCAGTGGCTTTCGCCATGCTGGGTGTGTCCACCACCCGCTCGCGGATGAAGAGGACTCTGGTTTTTGGGTGCAGGGTTCCAGTGGTGCTGGTGCCCTGGTTTGTGCTCTGCGTGGCGTGGTTTATCCCCCACTCTTCTCTCTTGGGTAACCTGTGTGGGCTCCTGGTTGGGGAAGCCTGTATCCTTTCCAAGTGGGAAGCTCCGAGCCAGAGCGGGATCATTGGTTCGTGATGGGAACAGGGTGCTGTGGTTCTTGTTGTTGGTTTTATGGTGTTTCCTGGGCTCTTGCTCTGCATTAAACCCTCCCTGGCTTTGCTCATCCCATGCTGGTTTTTCACCTCATTCTTCCACTTCCCCAGTGACTTTTGTGCACACAGAGAATGTGGAGTGAGGAGGGCGATGGTCTGTGAACGTGGTGCTGGGCGGAACTGGGAGAATTCTCCAGGAAAAGTGGTTTGTGGGCAGAGGAGGATTGTGTGTGGCTGTGTTAGAAGTGACTGTGTTTTGTCTGCAGACCTCCTTAACACGCTCCTGGCTTCAGATGGTCTTGGCTACGGTTTCTGCCTGGATTTTCCGGAGTCAGTGGGCTCTAAGCTGGACCGGGTGTTCCCTTTCACTCTGCTGAAGAGGATCCCAGGGCTGAAATACATCCCAGGGTCCTTAGCAGAGAGAAGAGCCTCTGACAGCACCAAGTAAGTACAGGAGTTCCTGTGGGAGATCTTATAGGGGAATTTTGAGGTGTGAGTAGAGGCTCTAAATCACCTTTAAAAGCTGGATTGCATTTGTTGAGTTCATATTGTGGGTGTGGGAGGGGGCAGAGTCACCCTTTGATGTTACACTGGTGACATTACTGGGACTAATAAATTACCACTCATTAACTCAACCAGGTCTTTAGTGAAAGCTGAATGGAGGTGAAAGACCTCTCCTTTGCTGCAAGGGCAGTGTGTGTACACATGCAAAGGTATTGCAGCTCTGGCTGACATGAAAGTTAAGTTGTGTAACTCTGCCCTGGAATTAGGGTTTAAGGCATTTATTCCTGGCTGTGTGGCTCCCTAGGGTGTGATCCCTATCTTTATTTGCCCCACCTCGCCTCCCAGGAATGCTGTGAAGTGAGTTGTGTCCAAACCTATGTAGGAGCAGAGCATTATAAATCAAAGGTATCACTTACAAAGCTCAGTGTAGACCTTTTGGTCTTTTTTAGCCTTTCAGCAGGTTTTCAGTGTCAAGGCAATGTTGCTTTACTGAAAAAAAAGCCCTTGGGGCCCTTGGCTGACAGTTCAGAAGTGATTTTAAGTTTATGTATTATCACAAGCCATGAGAACTCACTTGTATTCTAAAAAGCTTGAAAATGTAGGTCAAATATTTACCTGTTCTAAGGTGCCCTTTCAGCTTCGCAGAGAAAAGGTAGTTTTCTGTTAAGGGTTAAATTCTATGTATTGTTTAAGCCTTCAGCTCATTGTAAAGCTTTATTTAAAGTGGAAGCATTCCCAGGTGTTTGCATTGCCCTCACCCGTGGGGAAGCCATAAAACCAACCCTTGTCTGCAGCAGGAGTGTCCCTCAGGTCCATCAGGGCACTCAAACATGAGAGTGCTTGCAGGGAGGGCAGGCAGATCCAGCAGCATTTGTGTTTTCAGTCTCTCCTTCCTGTGCAAATGCAGCTTTTGGGAGGTGGGACTGTCTCCATGCTGAGCCTGTGCCAGCATCAGTCCAATCCTGCTGTGCACAGCACCTCAGGGTCTAAACCTGCTTCCTTTGGTGAGGTGACACAGACTGTTGTGACACAAAGGTACTTACATGAATATTTGACTATCCAACAGGGCGTGGGAAGGTGTTTCTAGGATGCTTCCACTGCTGCAGCTAAATTTGCATGTCTGTGCCTTAGATACAACTTCTGTATGTGCTTCTGCAGCTTCATGTTGATTATTTTTTTGATTTTTAATAACTTGGGGTTCGTTTTCTTTTTACATTTTCATGAGATTCAGGCACCTACTTGCCACCAGGCAGGACACATTTCTAGGAGGTCCAGGCTTTGGCATCATGTTTGTATCCACAAATAAAATTAAAAAAAAAAAAACCAACCCAAAATCAAATTAATAATTTAAAACCAAAAACCTAAGCCTGAAAACCCCAGGCTGAGCCAGTCTCTTGTTCTTGCTGGGAATCTGGCAGTCATGGATTCATGAATATTGACTTGATTCTCAGCACTCATCTGCGTGTTGTGCGTGGGCTGAGCAGCACTCCTGAAGTCCCAAAGGCTTCAGCTTCTAGGCAGATTGCCTCTCTCCTGTTTTGGCTGGATGAGTCATCCCTTCTGCTGGCAAAGACTTTCTAGCCCTTGCCTCTGAATAATTAATTTTAATTTCTAACTCTCCTCTCCTTCTCTTTTTTTGCTTTATACTCTAGGCTCTTACTCGCACCAAGGGCCTTTATGTTTTCTTCATAAACACTTGGCAGCTGTTACTTCTGATTAATGCCTTGGCAGATGTGTCCCTCACAGGGCAGGGAGGATGTGCCCTGGAATCTCAAAGCACGTTGAAGTTTGGCTTTTGTGCATTCCCTGCACAAAGAGTCTGGGGCCAAGAACCACGCTTGTTCAGTGGGTGTGGAAATGGCGTGGGTTGGGAGTGGGAACATCTGTCCTGGGAAGCCAGTAAACCTATTTTTTACTCAAGTGCTGCTTATAATAAGAGCTTCTGTTGTAGTGAATCCCTCTGATGGATTGCAGTGCCCTCTCTGAGCGCTGGTCAGGAGGAAATCAACCCCCAGGGCACTTCCAGCGCTAATTAGGCAATGCCAGTTCTGAGCACTGTGTAACCTCCTGTTTTCTTCCTGCCCAGGATTAACCCTGCACCAGGCACTTACCCCACCCAAAGCTACTACTGCCCTTCGCCTCCAGCTCTTCCTGCTTCCCAGATGCAGCATCCCAACGCTCAGAGCCAGGGGTTTCATCACAGCTGCGCTCCGGGACACGGCCGTGTGCCGGGACACGAGGGATCTCAGCAGGGCCACGCTGCAGGACACAGCCTCAGTTCTTCCCACTGCCAAGCCAGAGGTGCCTGGGGAGAGTGTTGTGGGCAGGCCCACGTGGGAGCCTCCCCAGGACAGCACTGCCAGCTGGGCACGTTCTGTCCCCCTCAGCGCGTGTGCCCGACTGACCCACAGCCACCCGCGGGCCTGGGGCCCCTGGCTGGTGCTCAGCAAGCACCCACAGTGCCTCCTGTTGCAGCTGAATTTACCAGAGTCCAAGTGTACTGATCCTCCAGGGAGCATCAGGACTCACACAGGGGCAGGGCCACTCTGTGATGCTCCCACAGCAGTGCATTGCTGGCATCTTTGCTGTGTCTGGGGTGACTGTTGGAATGCATTGGTAGCTCCAATGTAAGCCATTTCTCTGCTCCCTGGCACAGGCTACTTGGATTGTATTTCCTTTATAATTGTTTTTTTACTTTTTGATATTGCTGGGGGTGAGGACTGTATCAGCTCTGTGTACTTCTCATCCTTTTGAAGTCTTTTTTCATTGCTGCATTTAGCAGCTGGCTTTTTCCACACTGCCACTGGAGTTCCAGTGCACCAGCTTCCTGAGTCAAGGTGGGAATCTCACTGTCAAAACACTGGAGTTTAGCTAGGCTGCAGCAAAAAGCTCATGTCCCATTTACACTCCTGCCTTGTTTACAGGTGTGATGTAGCTAGGACCCAAAAGAGATGGGAATTGGGCAAGCCTTAGTTTATAACTTAATATTTGAGTGGAGGAGGACAGATGTCTGTTCTACTGGTGACTTCCCCACTAAAACAGTGCCATGAAGAGGGCTTGTTAAACCAAGCTGGGGCAAGAGGATAGAACACAGAACACCCTTTTCTGCCATCACAAAACACAGCCCTAAAATGCTCAAGGTCCTTCTTAGCTGCAGTCTGTGACTGCATCAACATGTTGCCTTCATTTTCTGATAGCACTGCACCAGCTCAGCCTCTGTCACCAGCACTTGTTGATAAGGCCACCTCACATGCATGGGAAGTAGTGGGGAAGCTCTTCAGTAATGAATTTTGGCCATTTGTGGAGCAAATGTTTATAAATCCAAGGAATGCAGCAGTGCTGTTGGGGGGTGTTCACACTGCTCAGCATTAGAAGTCTCACCCACCAATATTAGCACAATCTCTCTCTGTTTTCTTGGGAGCTGGTGGGCAGGTGTGTGGGAGAGGGGAGTTTTCAGCAAAGGATTTGGAGCAGGATGCACTGTTTGGTGTGTGTGGCTGTAATGAAGGAGTTTGGTCGAGTTGCTGAGATTTGAGTGTTATTCCCAGCTGTGTAGCTGCTGCCCTGTGCCATGCCCAGGAGGAATCTGCTGTCTCTGTATCTGTAAATCAGCCAGGATCTCAACTATTGCCCTGGGCTCTGCTCAGAGTTTTGTTGTGTTCCAAAAAAAAAGTGGTGCATGAAGCACAAAATGCCATTACTGCTCCTGGAGATGTTCCTGCAGTGCCTCACCCATCCCCAGAAACACAACAGCCTCAGGGCTCCTCTGTGCTCCCAGTGAGCCTGACCAGAGGCAGCTCTGGCAGCTGCATGTTCCAAAGCAAGTCCATGCCCCTTTGATTTTTCCATCATCAATGTCTGAGGAAGCCCCTTGTTGCTGTACAGCCACTTCTCCAGGAGGCTGGAGTTGAGGGCCTTTCACTCCTCCACGGGATCACAAATGGAATTGACTTCATGGTCCTGTTTTTCCTGCTGACAGCAGTTGCATTGTTATGTGTTTAGTGTGGAGCAAGAGCGGGATAAGGAGCTTGTTTGTAATTTAAAAGCATGTTTTTAATACCAGGAAAGAAATGCTAGAGATAACATTGAAATGTTGATGCTCCACTCCCTGCTAGTGCCTTGATTTTTCCTCCTTGTGAAATCCTTGCCTGTAAACCTAGGAATTTTATCACTGATTTTTCCAGGAGGGTGATGAGCACTGATAGCAATCATGAATGTTGTATACCTCCAAACTGGGAACTGGAAATAGAATCTGAAAGACAAATTGTTATGGTCTCTGGGTTTGCTTTCAAAGGGGGATGTGGAGCGTGCCCCTCCGGGTGGTGGGCTGGGCACGGTGGGATCTGTGGGGCGGGATCTGTGGGATGGGCTGTGGGATGGGCTGCTGGGTGCCAGCTCCGTGTCAGGTTGGGGCTTTGGACGCGCATTGGGGACAAGTGGAACTGCACCCTGGAAAACGCTGGAAGCCGGTTATTTTTCCTTTCCAGCTCTTATCAGCTGATCTGATGAGAGATTCGCTCTCCCCGCAGAGCTGTCAGAGGGATGGCACGTTTCCAGGGAGTAGTTTCCTGGTTTCGTAGTGGCGGAGGAAGCCCTGGCCTGTAGGAGTCACCGCAGTGTCGCTGCCGGCGGCCGGAACAGCCCCGATCCCGGGGAACAGACAGCAAACCTCCTTCCAGGGGGTGAGCTGGGCCCCTTGGCCCCGGCGGTGGGGGGACATTCCTGCCTGGGAAGGAGCAAGCACCAGCCACTAACCTTTCCATGCTGAGACAAGACAACTGCCACAGCCTTCCAGGTGAGCAGGACCTGCCATAGGGACAAAACCGCAATTTGGTTTTTTTTTTTTTTTCCTTCTGCTCCCAGGTCTTTTAGGAGCTTCTGGGTGACCTTGGCAGATCACATGGTCTCTCTGATCTCTGCATCTTTCACCATGTCCCCAGGGCTGTTCCAAGTCCAGCTGCACCTACTTGTCCAGTGCAACGTGTTGTACCTTCAGTGCCCTTCAGATGGATGTTTGTGAAGATTTATTTTCTAGTGAGGTCTGTTCCCTGCTTTCCTGAGGGCAGCTGTTTCACCGTGAAACGCTGTTGTATAAATGAGCCAAGGACCTTCTGCTTCTCCAGCAGTGGAGTCCAAGCAAGTCCCAGTTCCCCAGGGCTGGTGGCAAACTCAGAACTCCTTGCCCAGGGAAGGGAAGTTGCTGGGAGGGAGGAAAAGTGTTGGGATGAGACATTTCCAAATGTGTTTAAGGCTCCGAGGAGGAATTAAATTTGGGAGAGAGGGAGGTGAAAGTCATCAGCTCGCTGGGCTTTGGCATTTGCCTCACTGAGCTCCCAGCAATGTTACTCATTGCATGTTGCAGTACCAGCTCATTTCCTTGGTGGGGAGACAGAGAATGGAAGTTCCTAAAGGAGGACGGGAAAAAAAAAAAAAAGAAAAAAGTCAATAACCTCCCAGTTCAGCCCGGGATGGCTGCCACTGGGAACGTGCTGTCCCTGGAGCTTTGTTATTCTGTGCCCCTGGTGCATTCCCAGTAAAGGCCACTTCATTCAGTGCTAGGATCGCATCTGCCCCGGAATCAGGGTGTGCAGAGAGTCCAGAACACCCCTTGGGTTGACCCCGTGTCCTCAGAGGGTCACTGCAGAGTGACAAAACTCTGGGGACAAGCGCTGGGAGCTGAGCCAGGTGCTCCCTGTGCTTGGGATAGTCATCCTGATGCAGGAAGGATGCTCTGGAAGAGCCCAGCTCCATCCTCTCTGCTCTTCTGCACCCACTATGGTGCAAGAGGAAAGGCATGGGGGGTACATGAGGAAAGCAGAACCGACTTGGACCTGCATTGCTGCCCCATTTAGGAGCAAGGGGGGGGTCCTGCAGAGTGGGGAGGCCTGGCAGGACACACTGATGCTGGAGGAAAAACAGGTCTGTGTTCCTTTGCTTTCCTATCCCTCATTTGTTCGTGGCAAAGCACACCCATGCAGTTATCCTGACTGGGGGCCAGGTTCCCCGTGCCAGGGCCAGGACTCTGCCAAACACCACCTTCATGGCTGTCCCATGGGGCCCCAGCCTTTTTGCTGCCACTGTTGAGGGTTCCGTGGCCAAAAGTTCAGCCCCAGCCTGTGCTGGGAACAGAGGAGTGTTGGAGAGATGGGAGAAATAGGTGTGGTGACAAAGCAGTGACCCAACAGGTCCCTGTGGGCTGGCAGAGCTCTGCTTTTTCCCCCAGGGGGAGTTTGGGCTGGGTGTGATGAGACCCCAGCCCCTTCCCTGCTGGCACAGAGCAGGCCAGGCTGTGCTGTAATGCCTGTTCCCAGTCCAGGCACCCGATAGGATGACCCCAAACCAAGGGCCTGCACTGTCCTGCCGTCCCATCAGTGCCACTGTGATCTTTAACCCGCGGCCATTCACCCCACGGGGCACAGTCACAGACCAGAGCCACTCCGGGGCAATTCCAGGGGGTTGATCCCAAAACTGATGCAGGTGGCAGTGGTGCCCAGGTGATCTTACACCCCTCTACCCTCTGCTTGGATGCCATCATGAAAGGGGGTGTTCCTGCAGCCCTGGGCAACGCTGCCTCAGAGCTGGTGCTTTTTGGGTCCATGCCCCCTCCTCACACCCCTCGTGGCTCCCCACGTGCCTGCCAGCCCCAGCTTGGACTTTGCACCTTCCCTGAGGGTTTTATTGATTCTGCAGCGAGCGCCAACACAGTGACAGTGTCAGAGTGGTGACTCTGGATGTGCCAGTGCCTGGCTGAGGGAGGGGACACAGTCCCGTGTGACCCCACGTGGCCTGGGGCTGCTCGGTGGGGTCAGGGCGAGCCGTGTGCCTGGCTTTGGCCAGGCTGGACTTAGCAGAGCTGTGACCCAGCTTCCCAAAAAAAAGGAGAGAGGAGAGCAGCGGTCCCTCCGTGTCTGTGGGAACCGGGGTCTGGGGGTTTGAGTTGCAAAATGTCCCGCTGGGACTGCTGGGGATGTTTCTGGAGCTGCTTGTGCAGTTCCCTGGTGGTGGCAGCATGAGTGCTGAGAGAAAGGCCGCCCCAAAACATCTAAAACATGTGGTCTGCGGTTAAATCAGGAGCATGTGCTTGTGCTGGCTGTAAACTGACTGGGCAGGGAGCCCCCCGGGTCCCAGGGAGGGGAGGCAGTGATCAGGTTCCAGCCTCTACCCTGGGGTCCCTTGACCCCCCTTGGGCCCCGCACCAGGGCAGGGGCCTTGGCAGGTTCTGGGGGGTCCCGCAGCAGCACCACCATGTGCACACAGGCACCGCACGTGGCCACAGACAGGGTTCTTGGGTGGGGGGGTCCTGGCTCAGGCACAGCCTGTGTCCAAAACCGACCCCAGCCCATGACGCAACCGTGACCCCAAACACGACTACACCATGACCCCAGCCCTGACCTTAAACCCACCTCGACCGCAAACTAGATCTGAACTCTAACGCCAGTTCTGGCCCCCACCCTCACCCCCCAAATACAACGTTGGCTCCACTGCTGTCTCCTTACCTTGCCCCAACCCTGACCCCTGCTGTACACCCAACCGGGCCCCCAACTCCCCGACCCCCTTCTCCCTCCCCCCCGCCCCAGCGCTCCTGCCCCTTTAAGACCCCGGCAGGCCCTGGGGCCGTTTTTACCAATTGCGGCCTCCGCCGAGGGGAATTCTTTTTTTTCTGGTAGGCCGCTCCCAGGCCTATTGGCGGGCCGGCAGGGCGGAAGCGTGTTTTCCCCCCGCGCGTAGGGCCGAGTGGTTTTGCGGGCCCGCGGTTACGTTGCCGGCCGCCCGGAGGCTGCGGGAAGCCGCCGGGCCACAGAAAACGGGCCGGCCGGCGGTGGGTTGCTGCGGGCTCGGCGACGCCGGGACCGCGGTACCGGGTTCTGTGGATGAGAAGGGAGTTGGGCTTTCGGGCGTTCCCCTATTGCCTGAGGGAGGGCTGGTGCTTTTTTTTCCGCCACTGGTGTCTGTTCTGGTCTGGGGAGGGGGGCGGGAGTGGGTCCATCGCTTTGATTTGGTGGGATGTGGGATGGGACGGACGGACGGGAACAGGGGTGCCCCTCTTATAACTGGGGTGGGGACTGGCTGTGGCTGGCTCCATGTGACTGGGAGGAGTGGGATGACTGAGGTCCCGCGTATGGCGAGGCTGTACTGAGTGGTCCCGCTGTGATTTGGGGGGAGTTCGATGTGAATGGACCCTCTTTTATTTGGGGGGACTGGGATGACCCTCTGGTCATCCTGGTATCTGGAGTCTGGTGTGGCTGGATCCCTGTCTTTGGGGGGGTATTTGGATGTCTAGAGGTCTCTCTTATTCAGGGTGTTGGGGGGAACTGGGATGACCAGACTTCCCTGTTATTTGGGGCGTCTGATGTGACTGGTCCCCTGTTATTTGGCAGGGATGAGGATGACTAAAGCCCTCTTTTGTTTGGGGGGGTCTGGTGTGACTGGATCCCCTGTTTGAAGGGGACTAGGATGACCAGAGGCCTCTGTTATTTGGGGGGTCTGGTGTGACTGAGCGCCCTGTTACTGGGGGGACTGGTGTGACCAGGGTCCCCTGTATGGGGGGTTGACATGAGTGACCCCCTGTAATTTGGGGTACCCCAATCATACCTGGCTCCCCGGGGCCTGTGGGGCAGGGGGCTGACTGGCACCCCGTGGTGGGGCTGAGAAGGGGGTGTGAGGCAGGGTGGGCAGCCAGGGAGGGGGGTGATGCCTGCCCTGTCTCGCTTCCACAGCACTGAAGGGTTGCTCAGACTTACCCAGTCTCGGGCTGTTGCTGGTTAAAAGCCTTTAATGAGCTTAATTTTCTGGCACTTCCCTGCAGAACGTTATTCCCAGCATTTAACTTGCACCTTTGCTGCAGGCTGGGCTGCTTAGCTGTTGTTCCACCTATTTAACTTTATAAGCTGCTGGGGTGTGGGAAGACTCTTTGCCCCTGTTTTTTCCTGATGAAATTGCTTGGGAGAGTGAAGTTACTCACTTAGGGAATGTGCTTGTCAAAGGAAATAGTGGAAAACCCCCTGTTTGGGAATATTAAGGCTGGAGGGGGTGAAGGCACCTGGATGATGGTTTTGGGAGTTAGTCATCAGTGTGGAATTGGTTCTTAGGAAGTTGTCTTACTTGCAGAAGTAAGCACTGCTGGTGGAATGTGCATTGTTCTGTCAGTGTTTAGACCTTGGGTTACCTTTCAGAGTGTAAAAGAAATAGGAATGCTTAGTGGAATGTGTACAGAGAAGAGGAATCACTGAGGCTTTCTGATATGAATCTGGAAAAAGTGAAATTTGGG